GCCAATCGGTGGCAGCTCCCAGCAACCAAGCGGATGGTAATGGGATGCCGGATGTGAATAATCTGTTGCAGATCATGGGTCAAACATTAAATCCGAACGTCGTAAATAGCACTCGCAACATTCCATCAACACCAGCTATAATAAACCCTACGCTTCCTGTTCCATCACCCGGTTGGGTTGTACAAACCGCCCCAACCGTTTGTCCTAACACACTTACTCGTTGCGTTGTGGTCAACAATCCTCCCAGTGCAGCTCGCNCACCAACTCTGATCTCTCAATCATTTTAAATCAAATCACCAGCGTGAATGAAAACAATGTGCGCATTGCCCTAAAGGCAGCACGACGCTGTATCGAAACATTCTCTGCTGATATCCGTCGCCTGGAACAGATGGCGGCCAGAGCCAGTACAATGGAAGAACTAGGTCGAGTAGTCCGATCGTTTCATAGTATCTATCGCTTTCACTTGTTCGCACGTTTATCTAATCTCACGGCCCGCATGCGTGAAGAACTGCCCAAAGAACCAGAGAAATCTCATTGTTCAACCGCTCCATTATCTGCGTCCAAAACATCAGTCGCTTATGTAAATCCCTCGACTGTGGTTTCCATTCCGAACTCTCTGTCTTCGGGTGTAACAATTGATCTAACCGAGGAGAACGACTGTAGTAGTGAGTCGACTGACCCTTCCCCCGTCAAGCAAACCCAAGAAGACTGCACAATCAGTAAGGTTTCAACAACTGTATCACCTAAACCGACAGATCCTAACATAAAACCAACCTTAAAAATATGCCCCGATCCACCTTCACCGAAATTACCCAGTGATTCCTCACATGTCGATATTCAATCTAAAAGTGATCAAAATGCATCTTCCAACTCCTCTGTGTCAAACCCAACGTCTGTGTCTCCTACGATACTCGCAACTGCATCTTCCAAGCCTGATAGAATCCCATCGCCAGATACTGCGCTTTCAAAATCTAACTCATCCAGTTCTCTGTCCGATAAACCACCTACCTCGACTGCATCTGATAACACACCTGTGGTGGGTGATGCGACAGCAGAACCATTCCGCTCGTCTCCTGTCAGCAACTCGGACCACGCACCAAATCCTGGGGACACCGATAATCCAGTTGCGGATGAAGACGATGATGACGATGACGATGATATTGATTGGAAATTAGATATGTTAGCCAATTTATCGCAGTCGGAAGCCCCGGCTTTGATTTTTGAACGTGATAGTCGTCCTGAAGAAAATGATCAACAAACTGCACAGACCGCTTCTGTAGAGAACCTGAATGCTACCAACCAATCAGATGAAACCTACGATGGTTCATCGAAAAGTGAGTTGACCGGTATTATTTGTGTAGAACGTTTCGGAAGGATGCCTTTCTGGCATAGATGCTGAGTGATATTTCGCTGTTCTATTTGTTTTTAGCTTCGTGTTATCTTCCCCAGATCCACAGTAAATCAGACATATTCGATTATCGTTCAATATTGTTCATTCTCTGGTAGCCAGCAACCCAAACCGCTGCACGAAAGTGCATGGTTAGTGGTTGTTCAAACTAAAAAAAACGAGCAGTTTCCATGCCCTCAACTAAAAAAATACTGCATAAAGATATTCAAGATATAGTCATTCCTGTGGATAGTGATCGGGATTTCTCGTACGTGCGATTTCCGTGTTAACCAGTCAGTAAGGAAAGTTGTATTTCAAAGTGTAAGGTATTCAGGCTTTGCAGATAAGCAGTTGTCATTATTTTTTTATATCCAATCATCCACCAAGTTGCTCTCAACAGGTCGAACTAAAGTGTCGCACCAGCACTGGTCATGCTTTTCATAGTTTGAACTTCCCAAGCACTGCCTGTACCAGTGAATATCACTGTCAGGGAGGACTTACATGCCTGAGATTATCAATCTATAGTACACGTTTGCGATTATCTACCATTCTTCGTGTAACTTGGATGTTGTTCGTCCGGTGGTCGCATAGCGATGAGACTGCACCTTATTCAAATGCATTCCGTATTCGGGAATTACTGTGTAGCATAATCCTAATGTCGATCTTTAACCTAACCTTACGACAGATTGATTCGAGTGGTAGAGTTATCAACTTAGTTCTTTCCTGTTTGCTAGGGTTATTAGGCCGTAATAGCAAAACACATACCGAATCTATTGTGCAGTCTGTTGCGCAATAATTTATCATGATAAAACTACACCTTGATGTGGTGTGACGGCTTGTGCACCTCTGTGACCCAACAAGCTAAACAGGATGACTTTTGTTAAACCGAAAATCTTATAATGCCTGGAAGGTCGAAGGGTAAAGGTCAGAGCAAGTTCAGTCTCCTGGTCCTCCAGGTTGGGGGTCCGTAAAAGGTTTTGGAGGAGTAATTGCTCCAAGTAAATATGCCTTCACTCCGTCCTATCTGCTGCCTTGCGGTTAGTTTCTTGTCAGAACTAGAGACTTTGATTGATAACCCCAATCGTTCTCCTGCTTAGTGGTTGGACTCCCTGGCGGTACCGTCCACAAAGCTCCAATGAACACAAACTAAAAATAATTTCATACTGCTTCGGTCGTCGCGCAGGATAATTAGGACCGAACGGGTCAGGCAGTGAGAAGTGGGCTACTGCCCAGAGATCCCAATCTTTGTTTGACTCTTTGTCTTCTATACCCAACCTTCCCCCTCTGTCCCTTCCGATCCTTAGCACTGCAGTAGAAAACGCTTTCGTCACTCGCCAAAGGTTATTGTCAAATAGCACTGTAAGTAGTTTCCCACTAAATAATTGGCATCTTCTGAAGCTTCGTCAACCTCTCAATCTGGAGCCTTCAGCGTCGGGACTCTGATGCAGGTGAATCGGCAAGCGTCTCTTGCGCGTACAATGATGTCTGTTGCGTATCGGAGACACGAATTCGGGATTCTAGTATTATGAGCCACCTGAGTTCGCCGGGTCTGTCCTCGAGATACTTTCTCCGCATATCAAGAAACGAAGAAGCCCGCTCTTTGGGTCGATGAGGTGTAGGAATCGTGCTCACCGATAAACCTGAGGTATCGCTGATAGATTGGATGCCCATCAGTAGTCGTTTATGCACAATGAGGCTCCAGGGTTCAGTCAGTATTCGGAAAGACAGCGATACCAAAAGGTGTTTGTTCATCATTTCCGCATATGCACCAATCAGTTGCAGTCTCACTTCACAGAAACTCACCGAACTCATTCGGTTGAGCTGCAGCTCTGATATGGTGCTGGTAGGTGATTTAAACGCGCAGGTTGGAAAACTGGGCGGGGGTGTTTGGGCACTTCGCTCTGTCCGCCGAGCTAACAGACAGCGGTGAACAACTACCTCGCTTCTGTACGGATCATATGTTGTTCTTATGTAGCACTAGCGAAAAAAAACAGCCGAAACCTGAAGGCCTTGCGTTACATCTCTAGAAGCTCTCACACGCATGCTTCGTTCACGATCCCGCGTTGGATTTACGCCCCACTGCCTTGTGGTCAGACTCTTGAGTCGAAGGCTCCGATTAGGGTTCCAAAAAACCCCTTCGTCGGTTTGGGTTACCGCGAAGTATTTCGCGCCCTGAATTCTTAGGCACCCATTTGGAAAACGATCCTTCCGATCTGTCTAATTCTTGCTCTCGACCACAAATAATTCCAGATGCCTCTTGTTTACGTGACCCTTTGGATTTCACTCAGCGTTTTACCAGCAAGGTCAGAGAATCAGAAGTTATAGGATTTTTGAAGCCGAAATTCCCTTTTCATTTGGCCGCGTTCAATGTCCGCACAATCCATCAGATTTGTCAACAAGCTGCCTTGGCTAGAACCCTTGAAACTTTCAATTTGTATGTATATGGTGTTTCTCCGAAACACGCATACAAGACCCTACTTTAATCATCTCCTTGTGGTCTCCAGATCCAACCTCATCTTCACGCTTGACTCCGTGTGTCAGGCGATTCGGCATCCGAAGCTCACGGTGTTGCTGGTGTTGGAATCGCGCCAAGTGCCAAGACAGCGATCGCTTCTTGACTAGATCCCAGTCAGTAACCGACTGCGCTGTACGTCTCATCGGTTCAACACGGATCAACAACTACAGAACGAAGCGTCAATGCTTATTCGTCGTATCCGTGTATGCACCGACCGATTGCAGTTCGCCAGAAATGAAGGATAAGTTTTACAAGGACCATTCTCCATTACTCCAAAGTGTTCGATCAACAGATGTCGTNGGACGGCATGCAATCCCAGCCAACCGGACGGACAACGGAAATCGCCTACTTCAACTCTACGCGGACCACGGATTGTTCCTGTCAAGCACGAACTTCTCGCACAAGAAACGACACCGCCTTACATGGAAACCGCCACCTTCTGTACAGCGTTGGACCTAAATCGACCACATCGCTATCAGTTACTCCTGGAGGGGTACGATTCACTGTTTAACACCTGTGGATACAAACCAGCGATTGCTGCAAATCGGCCATCGAAGCGAAACTCTCCGATCGCCTGTCAGTTCAACCACCAGTCGAAGGACTCAATAAACACTGAAAAAATCACGGAAGCTATGCAAATATCGATAAAAATAACGTCCGACCGACACAGGCTCAAAACACAAACGGTCGACCTCGGCTGCCCTCCTTGGCGCCCACAGAACCCTTCCTCCTGATGCTACACGTGACAGTGCGCAAATCCCTCAAACGCCAGCTCATCAAGAGTCTGAGGATTGACCGGGAGAAGTGGTGGATAGGAAAGTGTAGAGGGTTGGAGAAGGTTGCGGCTATTGGTAATAGTCGCAATCTTTTCCGTCTAATTAGGTATACGGGCCCCAGGAAAATAGACATAAATGAGGTAATTAATTAATCCGAGGTTGTATCGACCACATCTTCACTCTTCGCCAAATTCTGTAGCACCGACATTCTTTTCGTAGACCCACTATATCTGTCTTTCTCGATTTGAAAGCGGCTTTCGACTCAGTCTACCGCTCTAAACTCTGACGCTGCCTTTCCCTGAAGGGTGTTCGACAAGTTTATTTCAATATTACGATCCCTTTATAGTAATGGGCGAAGTCGAGTTCGAGCTTACGGCACTTTTTCGCTCGAGTTCACCACGGAAAGTGTGTGTTCGTCAGGGTTGCTCTCTCGTTTCCTATTTAAGTTTGTTATAGATTTGATTATGGAAACAGCCCTATCCTGGTGCGAGGATAACGGCATCGATTCGCTTCCAGGTGGCAGACTGTCTGATTTGGAGTACGCATACGACATTGTGCTGCTGAGTGAAAACCCAGGTAAGGCTTTTCTGGATAGCTTGAGTGCCAGTGTAGCCGTGCTCTGTATGCGTTTTGCACCTTCAAGGTGTAAAATGTTGCTACAAGATTGGGTTGGTCCAGCACCCAGTCTCACCTTAACTGGGGAAGTAATAGAGCAAGTGGATAAGTTTTATTATTTGGGCAGCTAAATCTCACCCGATGGACACATCACGGATGAAGTATCTGCTCACAAACATAAGGCTCGGTTGGCATTTGCCAACTTGAGACATCTGTGGTGCGGTCGCGACATCCGGTTGTCTGTGAAGGGCCGCGGCAGTTCGACCAGTTCTGCTATACGGCGCAGAAACTTTACCATTATCAGGTCAGAATGTTTGAAAATGTATGCACGCGCCGTACGGCTGTGCACTCTATGTTGATCATAGAAGTGCACTTTCTTTTCCGCCCTCCAATTAAACCCAATCCCTCCTCATCCATTACTTTTTGCTTAATTTGTTTACACTGTGATGTATAAAAGGAGGGAAATGGCGGTACTTAAATAATGACACTGTATATTCATTTACTGTATCGTGCGTTCTCGTCTCCACACCGTAAAGTGTTATAACAGCCAGAGCATACCCTGTACTCTTCAAGGACCGATGGATTTTGCGGTGATCCCATAACTGTTTCAAAATGGTAAACACCATTGAGACCTTAAGTATGAATCACGGCACTACCCAAAACGCATTATTCGAAAGGGATATAGCTGGATAATTAGCATAACTTGTATATTTTCTGTATTGACTTTCAGATAAAAGTTGGATTCTAATTGACCGAATCTTATCGCAGCCTGTTGTTACACTTGAATGTGTGAATGTATATCAAATGTAGCCACACTTGAAACTCACACTTGACTCGCAAACAAATCGTTCCCCTTATATTCTGACGCGTTACTCTCTGCAACAGTGCTATCTTCGCACCAGATTATTCGTTTCTTAAATTTGTTATGCTCCAAACTCCTAAGGAAATGATTGAAGAGTGTTTCTTAAAAACATCTGTTTTTATGGGTGAAATCTGGTGCTATAGAACGAGTACGAATCCGGATTCGGCTTTCAACACAATAAAGACTAGAATGTTCACCTTTGCGGCATACCAAAGAAGGATGGCGTCGACATAAAACGGTTCTGATTAAATCAAAAGTCGATTTCAGGTTAATATATTTATAATTTGATGGTGTGTGCATATATTGTGATCATGGATCTACTCCATATCCTTGCAATCTTCAGATTCATAAATTCTGTATTTTTCACCCTTACGCTGATTTGAACACTCCAACCTTCCTCTTGCTCTATCCAAATGGGCAGTTAAGAGACAGCAATCAAAACCACCGCACGGTTGATGGTTGTAAAAACTAAACTGTGACCACAATTTCGACTGGGTGTCAAACCGGTTTTGTTCTCACATGAGCGCTATTAAAGTGCGGTAATGAGTTAACAATGTATCACTGTACTAATAGGCTTTCAAACGATGATGGTTTTCTCTGGAACCTGTCACTTTTTCTCGATAAAATAGTCGGTTTACTCCATACAGAACCTCTACGATCTCAGTATGATTTTAAGTGGGCGCCTCCCTAAACAAATCCACTTGGGCTTCTCAGTAAACTTCTCGATATCCCTGTTGTTCAGCCGTTGATGGGTAAATCTCACTTTCTGTCTTCTTGTGGTTTGGAGTAATTGGGCAAACATCCTGAATAATGTACGAGCCGGCTCTGCATCGGTCGCGGCCTTAAAACACAGCCGCGTTTCCTTGTGAGTTATAATGTTATCTCAAGGTTCCAGCTGTGAATGTTTTATGGAAGCAACAGCTTTGATTTGGACAAAAACAAATCATGAGATTACATGAACGCTCACATTATCATTGCCTTTATGCACTCCTTCAGACGCCCTTCCATTACATGAACATTCACATGATACTATTTATCACGCAACCCAATCACCACTTCTTTCATCCACCGTTTTTATCACCTGGCACAACGTGATCTCAGTCCGTCAACCGAAAAAAAACAAATCAACATTCAAGCAAGACTTTTCCTAAGTTTGACATTGTTGTGAACTTTTTCAGTGCACGCACCCTTATGTTAGTGGAACAAAAAGCAAATAACAAGTATCCGCCTGGATATTTTTTCGTTCGAGAAACACAAATGCAGTACTTCCGTCATGTTCTGCGATTCATGTCTTTATGCGATAGTGACTTATCTCACGAAATATTTTCAGGAAACTATTGCTGCCGCTCACACCATTTATTATTTATATTGGTCATCCACTTCGTAAACTAGACCCTATTTTGCTACGTAAATACCACAGTCGGTGATCCAACAGTGGACACAAACATACCGTATTGCAGTCAGCAGCAAGTGGGCGGAACTACCATTCATATTAGACTATTTGTCACGAATTTGACCTAACTAGCGTGTATCCTTGTCATTTGATAAACGAAGCTGCCTATATTTTTCATTACCTTGTTTATGCCACTGTTCAACAACAGCAATTAGTGAAAATATGATTGCACTGATTTGGTTGCCGATTTAAAGCCACCCATTTGGTCGGCCAGGGAAGAAGAGCTTAAAATTTAACTAAGTTCAGATAAACATCAGGATGCGGAATACGGCTAAACTGTTTGTGTGAAAAGATGTTGGATACAAGAGCCCACGGTTTGCCACATTCAAATTCCCAGTCAGAACGTTCATGTACACCACTGGTTAGCGGCGACGCTAGCATAGTACCCAAATTATCATCGGGAAATGAATTGGACCGTTTCTCTTTGTCTTTATGATGGATTTGTAATTCGCAATAAGTTTACAATGGTGCTTTGTTATACATTGACAGCGTAGTGCGATCAGCAAACTGCGAACTGCCATGCACACCATTTATTGCATTCAATTTATCGTTTCGTAATTGAAAGGTAACGGCGAAGAATGATGCAGGTTACACGATGTGAAATCGCTCATACAAGTGCGAATTAGATTACCGCGTCTTTGATTGCACTTAAGCTACACTAGTGGTCGTACACTCAAATGAAAATTGAGTTGTTGTTCGGTGACCATTTAGTGAATCGCGTGTCACACGACCATCAGCTAGTAGCGATGGCACCGCTTTCAGCTGACTGGATTACGCTCGTCCACTGTATTGTCGCTCATTTCACTGTTCATCTTCGACATGGTTTATATTTGTTACATCCTTTGCCCATATAGACTGTAATGCTTTTACTGTGTGCTAGGAAGTTCTTTGGCATTCGGTTAAAATTAACCCTTATTGCCCTCTGCAATCCATTTGACCTCTTCTACTACTGTTGTTTTCCAGGTACACCTTTCGACCTACCCCAATCGGCCCTTGTTCCACAACCTTCGGTCTATCTAGAAGGTGGGTCTCAATTTCCGTTTGCCATCAGCACATGCTAATCACGCACACTAACGGTCTTGTGTGAAACTTGTACGCGAGTGGTCAGCACAGTGATGGAAGTCCCACGCTCTGATGCTCACCTCTCCGCTCGCCGGCATTCACAGCTCTGTGTTGCGCATGCTCGGAAGTACACTAACCTCCATGTGATTTTTGTGTTTACAAATTCATTGCAACACTGGCTATCTTTGTGCGTCTCTACGTCAGGCAGACATCCTCTGATACACTTGAACGGATTATGTGATATATTTGCCATGAGGCCGTTCCGTATCTAATTGTCCTTTCTAGTTGCTTATGTGTATGTACGCAGACATGCATGTGCTCAGATCTACTTGGGCTCGTAATGAGCGTCAATTCGCTGGAAACATTTTGTGCTCTTTGTGATTTTCTTAGAGCCTGCAACTCCCATTCAGTTTATTGTATGTTTCTTCGCTCAACATCAATTCAAATTGATCACGCACAAACACAGAGCAAACCGCTTCTGGTTCACATATGCCGTTCTCACTGTTCGTATGATAGGTTGATCTGCTCAATAACTGTATGGATGTCTGCCTGCTATTTGAGGCCTCTAAGTGTCTGTACTTTTGCTTATTTGCCCCATTTCATCGTTCAGTACAGCGTTCCTAATCCTCAATTCAACATTCGAAAGTTGTAAACAACCGGTGCTATTCGGTGTTTATTATATATATTTCATGATAAGTAGTATGCGAATGACTGGAGAATA